AATCATGCAGCTGCAATGCTTGAACACAAAGCAAAATATGCAAGGACTGCATGTTCCAAAATTCTCAACAATTGATGCTGAGATAGAAACCACAAGAGTGTCATGTGGGGCCTTTTATCTATGAACCATTCTGAATGGTAACTATGCGACTTAACTGATTTAGAGCGCGGTGTCTCTACACTTCACTTTTCTCAACAATAGTGTCTTTCTTTCGCAATTATTCCCTGTTTAATATTTGATAAGTCCAAGACAGTGATGAGTCTAGAACTGAGATAGCTTTCAACTGAAACAATGAGTTAGAAGCTACAAAACACATACCAGCAGGATAGAAAAAAAACACAGTATTGTTCTAATAAAATATCTTCCGATGAATAATGTTTTGTTCTCATGCAAAAATTGTATCTGGTTACAATCATTGTGATTTATTGTTTGACAGTATGTTTCAGAGTGTACTACTTACTTAAGGGACCCATCTAGATGCTACATGTCACTTTTATTGTCAGCTTTTTTAAATTAGTATAAAATGTATAAATTGTTAAAGAAATTAGAAAAGTGTTGGAAAATACATGTAGTTGAAACAAACAGCATAATTATGTTAAAAAACATATTGTGATTATTCTCCTTCTTGTCATCACAGGCACTAACGTTACATTTTGATTTATTGTTGTACAGTATGTTTTAGAATGTAATGCTAAGCATTGAAATAGATACTGAACTTGGGTTTGTGAATTGTGAAAGAACAGTATGATGTTGAAACTAGTTCAAACATGTTTTTCCTCTTTCTTATCACATCTTTGATATCAGGTACATTGTAGTACATGTGGGTTCACCACTACATTCCGATATCCTTCATCCACAAATAGATCTGCATCAAGGTGATAAACAGGGACACCAGGGAGAACTGTTTTGCCAGTTACAAAGGGAATTCTTGGGAACACATCAGGGCATGAGCATTTCTAGCTTATATTTCTTTTTAACAAAACCAATCCACAAAAGAGGCAATTTGAGTCCTGCCATTGCACTAAACTAGTTCATGGACAGTACTTAAGAAAAGGACTGTATTTGGCAATAAATTATTGAATAAGTAGTCAACTTTATATGACCCAGAGCATGACCTATGATTTCACCACAAAGGAAAATTTCCATTGAACAGAAATATAATATCTATCTTTGACAGCTTTATATTATTTGACTTTAAATGCAGCAATAATAAAGGGTTTGTAAACAAAATAAATTATCTAGAAAAAGAAAATATAAATTTAAAGGTAACCTACCTAGCACAGCAGTCCATAGTTACAGTACATGAAGACAAACATGAACTGCTACCAGTTATTTCCAACATCATGAGCTACAAATGGGCTGATAAGGTACAATTCTACCCCAGGCTAATATATAATATATAACATATGATATAGTCAGGACTAGAGAAAGTCTTCAGCAGCCTGATG